CACAACCCCATAGAGGAGAAAGGGGGGAATGAAGGGCCCCCACCCATAAGATGGCAAACTTCCGGCTTCTCTTCCGGGTCCTCGGTTCCCGCCGGCGCCACCTGAAGCCCAATCACCTCTCGCCCCCCTCCCAATCCCAGCACCTAGCCAACAGCCACCAGCCCCGTAGAAGTAACACCACAATCACCCTATGCCCCTTCCTATATAACCCAGCACCTTTCCCTAATAAAACGGAATTCCCCGGTGAATTGCTGCTGTGTGTTGCTCCTTCCTTTCACCCAGACACACACCACCAAGCAATTCTCAAATACCAGCAGGGTGTATGGGAACTCAACGCAAATCTGACACTATATCTGCCTGGAGACAGCACCAGATTCTCCAGGTTAAGGGGCAGCCTATAAGACTGCCCTCCACCCCATACTCCAGATGCCAGTGGCAAGCCCCAAGCAGTTACTTGTGCTTCTGAACTACTGACTATAGATTGGAGGTTTCAATGACCAGGTTTAATTAATTTGCTAGAGCAGCTCACAGAACTCAGGAAAACACTTATTAATAAAGGATTCCATAAAGGACGCAAGTTAACACCCGGATGAAGAGATACACAGGGCAAGGTCCCAAATAAAGGAGCTTCTGTCCTCATGGAGCTCAGGGCCTGGCTCTGTGGCATGTGGGAGTGTTCTGGTGCCCCAAGCATAGAAGCTCCCCAGTGGAGAGGCTGGAATCGAGAGAACTGTGCTCTTCTCAGGTTTTTGTTAGGGCTTCACTGCATAGTCAGGATTGACTAAATCACTGGCCATTGGCTGATTCAGCCTCCAGATGCATATGTATGACCAATTAAGTATTTCTTATGACTCATTATATCACCATACCAATCCCATGTTATATTAAGGAAGTTTCATTCTGGTCCTAGTCCTCTAAGAGTTTGGAGTTTTTAAAATCTGAAATGGGTATTGGATCTTATAAAAAATTCTTTCGTCATCATGATTTTCATCTGCTTTTCTGTAAGTGTAGTGAGTTACATGATTGAGTTTTCTCATAATATAATAACCTTGCATTCCAGAATAAACAAAACTTTTTATCCTTGTTATATATCACTGGCTTTGGATTGTTGAGGTTTAGTTTAGGGTTTTTGTGTCTATAACTGAATGAGATTGACATGACATCATACTGTTGTCAGTTTTGGTATCAAAGTTGAATTATGCTCACAAATGGAATTGGAGCATATATCACCTTTTTCTATTTTCTGGATGTAACTGATCAAGAATAAAAGGGAAAAGGAAGAAATAACTAAATGAAAAAAGGAGCCATCAACACACAAACTACAGGCACTTAATAAAAAGGTATCTTGAACACATTGAACTCCAAAATTTTTATCATTGAACTAAAATATATAAATATCCTAGAAAGATGGTTTATCAAAATTGATGCAAGAAAAGGTTAACCACATAATCCTATAAACGTGAAGGAAAACTCAGTAATTAAAATCCTTCCTCAGATGACTTCAGTAACTTGGATTAACCATGTAAGGAAGGTATTTCACATACATGTTTTCAATAAAAGTTGGTTTGTACTAAACATACAATTTGAGAATATGATTTTTCACTTTGTAATAGATCATGGACTTTTAAATTATATATTCTAAGACATAATTTTAATGGCAGGATGGTATTCCATTACATGAGTGGTCTAATTGGTTGAACAGCCCTCTATCTTTTGGACACCTGGGTTATTTCGTGTTTCCCCAGAGTTATAGAGAGCTCTTCGGTGATTGTCATAGTTGTCATTTCTTTTTTGCATATGACTATCTGCTTAGGGTAAATTCCTAGAAGAGTAATTTGGGGGCAAAAGATAGGTAATATGTCAGTTTTTTCTTACATGTTTCCAGCTTTCCCTTTTCAAAGTTATGCTTATAGTTCCACCAATAGTAAAAGACAGTTTCCATTCTCATCAACAGTGGGTGTGATTATTTCTGTTATTTAAAGTCTAAAGTCTCTGAGCTGTTTGTAGTGCCTTCACAGTCTGTTTCCTGCCCCATCTTCTGCAGCGCCGTGCTGAGATTCTTTTAATTTTTTATGTGACTGATTCTGTCTTACGTCCCATCCAGGCCTTGGTGTCTGCCACTGAATGCATCATCTTCAGGTTTTAGATTAAACCTTGCTTCTGTCCCAGAAGAACTTTTCTTCTCTGACCATATAGACTAGCTTGGAGCCCATGATGTAGTCCCACAAATTTCTGTGTAGGTTCCATGTCGCATGATTTATTATCCTTGTTGAAAATTTACTTGCATTGTTATCTGCTTGAATAGAATGTAGCCTTCATGAGGAAAGAGACTTATTTGTCTTCCTAACTCTGGTATTCTTTACCTAGCACATGCCTGGCTTTCAAAATATCTGTTGAATGGATTAATTTGCTAATTCTCTAGTGAAAAATTACTTTTTAGTAAGTTTTAATTTTTATTTCTTTGATTACTGATAAACTTAAGTGTTTTCATACAGTTGGTTGGCTGTCTTTACTTCTGAATTCTGCCTGTCACTTATTTTTCTATTGGAACATCTACTTTTATGTAACAATTTATAGGTGCTTTTAACACAGTGTAGGTATTATCCTTGATGGATGTCTCTAGCAATTCCTTTGCTTTGTGTAACAGATTCTGAGATTGGGACTGAGAAGGAACTATCCATTCTAAACCAGAAGTGTTCTAAAGAAGTAAAAACCCCACAACTGATATCAAGAGGATTCTCACAGGGTGATGCACAGGCACCTGGGCTGCAGGAAGCTTGGGATCATGATGGTGAGCTAGGACGCCTGGGGACTTCGGTTCAGCAGAGTTTGAAGAAACCCCATCTTCATAAGGGAGTTTTTAGGAATGAACCTGTCTTGTGTAGAGAAAGACCTCCAGGACAAAAAACCCAGGAGTGTGGCACAATTGATGGAAACTTGACTCTGAACTATGATGTTGCTAGACTTCAAAGAAATAAAACAGTAGAGAAAGCGTTTCAATGTGATATATGCAGCAAAACCTTCCAATTTAATTCAGATCTAACTAGACATCAGAGAAGTCACAATGGGGAAAATCTTTATGAATGTGGTCAGTGTGGATGGGCCTTTACTCACAGCTCGAGCCTCGTTATGCACCATTGAGTTCACACTGGAAGTAAGTCATTTGAATGTAATGAATTGGGAAGACTTTCTGTCTCAATTCCCACCTCCTCCTCCATCAAAAAAATCCATACTGGAGAAAAGCCTTTTGGGTGTAGTGAGTGCGAGAAGGCTTTCAGTCAGAGCTCCACTCTTATTCAACATCGTATAATTCATACAGGGGAAAAGCCTTACAAATGTAGTGAATGTGGGGAGGCCTTTAGCCAGAGCCCACAGTTAAATCAGCATCAGAGAATCCACACTGGCTAGAGGCTCCATGGATGTGGTCAGTGTGGGAAGACCTTCAGCCAAAGCTCGAACCTTTTCCTCCATCACAGGGTCCACACAGGAGAGAAGCCCTATGTCTGTAATGAATGTGGCAGAGCCTTTGGTTTTAACTCTCACCTCATTGAACATGTAAGGATTCACACTGGAGAAAAACCCTATATGTGTAATGACTGTGGCAAAGCCTTTAGTTGGAGTTCAACTCTTGCTCAGCATCGAAGAGTTCACACTGGAGAGAAACCCTATCAGTGCATTGAGTGTGGAAAAGCCTTTAGTCAGAGCTCACAACTTGCCTTGCACCAACGAGCTCACACAGGAGAGAAGTCCTATGAGTGTGGTGAGTGTGGGAAGGCCTTCAGCCAGAGGTCAACCCTCACTCAGCATCAGAGGGTCCACATGGGAGAAGCTACATGTGTGCAGACAACGTGGTCCAGGCTTTGCTCATGGCTCTAGCTTTAGGCCATGTGGACAGAGTCACACTGGAGAGAAGAGCTCTGTGTGTGATGGACATGGCAGAGCCTTCAGCCACGGCACAAACCTTATTCTGCACTGGATGGTTCACACTGGTGAGATATCTGTTGGGTGTGATGAATGTGAGAAACCTCTTGGTCCCACCTTACAACCCACTGAACATCAGAAAATCCATGCTGGGGGAAGCCCTATAAGCATCATGAATGTGGGAAAGGCTTTAGTCAAGGTTCAGCCCCTAATGAACATCAGGTAGCTCTTACTGGGGAGAGACTGCATTGCCTTTGCATGGGAAAGCCTTCAACTGGAGCTCATAGCTTGCACTGGATCAGCAGATGCAGGTGGGAGAGAAACCCCGTTTAAATGATAAATCTGAAAGAGATTTATTCATATCAAAAATACTTTCCAAGAAAGACATTTTTAATATGATTAATGTGGGACAAGTTTGGCAGTTCATTTATGTTGGGTAGAATCTCATAATGAAAGTCAAGTAAGAAGGTCTGAATATTGACTAGCAAAACAGTTTCGGTCACTATTAAGTCATTAAGTTTGTAAGTAAACATAATAGGGTTCATTCTGGAAAATAAAGTTGGCAGAGGTTACCATTGTGCTAGAAGGTGACCTGTGTGCTGAGGTCACCATCAGGTACTCAAGGTGAACATATGGACACTATGAAACGTGCCCTTGCTCAGTTCTGTGTCAATCCAACAGGAATATTTTGTCTTGTATTTGCCTTCCTGTCTAAACCCAGGCTTCTAGCTGAGATTATCTAGTTTCAGACCTTTACACATGCCTCTAGGTGTGTGCAGAGAATCTTGCCTATTGGGCCAGTTCAGGCCTTACATTCCATTAAGATGGTCTGTCATCTCCACCACCAGCCTACAGCGTAACTGCAAGTAGGAGTCCTTCTCTTTAGAGTGCCAATGTTTGCAGTTGTTACACGAAAGCTTATTTTTTTCACCCTAGAGAGCTGCACAGTTCAGCCAAGGAGAGCACCTCAGGGGGCTGCCAAGTAGCTCTCCTTTTGAAAATTGTAACTATTGGTGTCAGGCTTATTGAGGTATAGTGTATGTACAATAAAGTCCACTCTTTTTAGTGTACAGTCCTATGAGTTCTGACAAAGACATATAGTCATGTAGCCACCACCTAAAATCCCCTTCTAGTGAAGCCCTTTTCACTCCAAGCCCCTGAAAGCCACTGGTTTTCTCACCTTATAGTTTGACATTTTCAAACTCGTTCCATGTTTGGCCTTTTGAATCTGACACCTTTCACTTGACAGTGTATTGGAGATTAATCCGTGACATTGCACTACCAATAGTTGACTGCCAGGTAGCATTCTGTTGTATAGATATAGCAGTTTGTTGACCCATTCACCCACGGAAGGGTTTTGGATGGTTTCCAGTTTGGGGTAACTATGAATAAAGCTGCTGTAAACATTTAAAAAAGGTTATTTTCTGAACCTAACTTTTCAGTTCTCTTGGGTAAATAGCCAGGATCAGTAGAGTGGGTTGTATGGTAAGCTTATGTTTAACTTTTTAAGGAACTACTTAACTGTTTTTCAGAGTGCCTGTACCATTTTACATTCCCATGGGCAATGTATGAGAGCTTACTTGCTCTGAGTCCTAGCCAGAACTCAATAGAATCAGGTTTTATTAGACATATTAGTGGGAATATGGTGGCATCCATGGTTTTAATCTGTGTTCCCCTGTTGACTGACTTGAGCAATAAACTTCTATTTAGAGAGTTTCACTGGGATGTTTGAAAAACTCTGGACTCTTTAACTCTACAGTGGGATGGCCCTGACAGGCTGACAGGCCATTTTGTTTTCTTTTTTTATTAAGATGTCCTTGATATACACTCTTATGAAGGCTTCACATGAAAAACATTGTGGTTACTACATTCACCCATATTATCAAGTCCCCACCACCACCCCATTACAGTCACTGTCATTCAGCATCATAAGATGCTACAATCACTACTTGTCTTCCCCATGCTATTCAGTCCCCATGACACCCCGACACCATGTGTGCCAATCATAATACCCCTCAATCCCCTTCTCCCTCCCTCCCCACCCACCCTCCCACACACTTCCCCTTTGGTAACCGCTAGTCCCTTCTTCAGGGGGGGGGGTGTCTGCTGCTGTTTTGTTCCTTTGGTTTTGCTTCGTTCTTATGCTCCACAGATGGGGGAAATCATGTGGTACTTGTCCTTCTCCGCCTGGCTTATTTCACTGAGGATAATACCCTCCAGCTCCATCCATATTGTTGGAAATGGTAGGATTTGTTTTCTTCTTATGGCTGAATAATAATCCATTGTGTATATGTACCATATCTTTATCCTTTCATCTACTGGACACTTAGGTTGCTTCCATTTCTTAACTGTTGTAAATAGTGCTGCGATAAACAGAGGGGTGCACATGTCTTTTTGAATCTGATCTTGTTTTGTTGAGGTAAATTCCTAGGAGTGGAAATCCCGGGTCAAATGGTTTTCTATTTTGAGTTTTTTAAGGAACCTCCATATTGTTTTCCACAACGGTTGAACTAATTTACTTTCCCACCAGGTTCCCCTTTATCCACATCTTCACCAGCCTTTGTTGTTCCTAGTCTTTTCCATGCTGGCCATCCTAACTGGTGTGAGGTGATATCTCATTGTGGTTTTAATTTGCATTTCTGTGATAATTAGCGATGTGGAGCATCTTTTCATGTGCCTGTTGGCCATCTGAACTTCTTCTTTGGAGAAGTGTCTGTTCAGCTCCTCTGCCCATTTTTTAATTGGGTTATTTCTGTAAGATAAATTCTAGCCAAAATAAGCAGGCAATGAGAGGCAACAAAGGGCCAGACAGTTTATTTGAGCACCATTCCCAGGTGATATTCCCCTATCTGGCTATCACAGGCTGGGAAGTCACACTCAGCAGGGCAGGCAGCGAGGTTTTAAAGAAGGTAGGGGGAGGCAGAGCTTAGATTTACAGCAGCCCGAGGATTGGCCAGCCCAAGGCACATTTTTCGGGTTGGGAGGGGGCAGCAGCCCGGGACTTTGGCACATCATCAGTGTCCGATCTGCTCACCCCTCCCCCTCTGGTGCCTCCAGCCTTACATTCCAGCCTTTTGGTCATAATGGGCGATGACTTGATCTGGCTACTTGTGGCTGACAAGGGGTGTCATGGTGGGGGCGGGGTTCATAGCATGTAGTTACATTGCTCTGACAGCAAACATCCTGCCTTGCTTTTTCCAGAGGCTCTCACCTTATTCTGCCTAAGCTTATGGTCTCTCTTATTTTCTCCTCTACAGATAGAGACTCTAGCTGCTACTAGGGAAAAGGGGCAACAACCGCTCCAGCTGCTTCATGCTGTGAAGGGGTGTAGTAAAGGGTGCAGCTAGGTTTCTATCACTGGTCAGTTGAGAGGGCCTCGGAAGATTGGCGCTTCTATTCTGGAAGGACAAACTTGATGAGATTAAGAATGCATGGTTGAATATGAGAACTAGAAGTAGTAAAACTTTAATTGAAATGATAGGATAAAACTAAAACATCTGGAAAATCACAGTGAGATATTTTGAAGAAGCTAGAATTCTGGATCTAGTTTATGTCCCAATAACTAGTACTAGGATTTAGTATGGATAAGGCTGCATTATTGAAACAACTTTTCTCTAAAATCACCCTCATTTTTATTAAAAGTAACCAGATTAAGAAAATAGTTAACACTTGGCTTTATTATTTGCATAAGTGCTGCAAGAAGAGCAATTGATTACATAGGCTCTTTTAAATATGCTTTGCTGGAACTTTTTATAAGGAATTTCAGATTGAACTTTAAAAGGCCTCTCGAGGCCAGACAGCCAAGCCAGACTTGCTATCAGGTTTTGCCTGCAGTACCTTTAGATTTGGGTGAATTCTTCTCTTCTCGAGGTCCACAAGACATTCTGAGGTTCCTGCACCTACCAGGAAGTGACGTCCCTTACTCACCTGGTAAGGCTGCTGGGAACCCTGGAAGCAAGGTACCAGGCCAGTTCTTCCAAGGGGCTTTGTTGGCTTTATAAAGTCAACCTTAGTTCTTTAAAGCTGTTCATATCTGAGTTTATGCATGTGTTTCTCAGGTATGACATTCCAGTCAAAGCCTTGGTAGTATAACCTGTATTTTTAATTGGTCCTCTTACAAGGAAAGCAGGTTCTTATTGAACTTATGCAAAGAAATATACTGCCGTGAAATATAAAAATAGTTACTGAGAGTTTTTAAATTCTGAAGAGATCAGGTAGAGAGAAAGATAAATGTTTCAGTTCTGCTTATAAAGATAATCATTTACTAAACTGTTGTCAGCTTAAGAGAACAAGCTTAAAACACTTTATCAGCAATATTTGAAACAAAAAGCTACAAAATCATCATTAGTTTACTTTATCTTATATAACTAATACCTGTTCTGCTGAAATCTAGTTCTTTACTACTTTAGGAATAATAAACAGTGACTACAAATGACAAAAGACTTACAAATGACAATGGTTAAAGATCTGATGAGAGCTTACTGCAGGACAGTTAACATAAGGAAATTTGAATATTTCTGTAACAAAACATTCAGTAACAAAGTTTAGCATCATTCCGTTTGACAGTGCTTTCTAGGTAATTAAGCAGGTAATTATATGTCTGATAAATAAGCCAAATTAGCCAAATACTTTCTCCAACGAGAAAAAAATTTTCTGACATGTTCCAGGGGCCCTCTGGAAAATATCAGTTAACTAGAGGTAAAAGCACCTTTTTGAATTTGATTTTTTTTTTGGCACTTGCTTAAATAGAATTATAGGTTGCCATTAAGCAATACTTATCCATTTAACCAGAATGACAACAAAATACATCAAAGGCAAATAAAGGTTACACAGTTGTTAGCAAACTTAAACTTTTAGTCCTTTTAAT